GCATGCTGCACACCTTCTTTACCACCTTATCCACTTGTGTTGCCACTTTCAGGGAACCTTGGACTTGTACCCCAAGATCCTTTCAGATATCAATGCTCCTAAATGTCCTGCCATTGGTACAGTATACTGTGTAATTTCACCACAGTAATTAATATAGAAAGAAGAATGCTGAACTGTATTATTAAATCAATGGAGTGCAATTTGGAGGACGTCATCCTAAATTGTACAATGCTCTGTTTTAACATACCCTAAGTACAATTTTAGTCATGGATACACAAAAGAGACACCCCAGAAGTGTTACAGAAGAGTCATGACGTTAATTGATCACGATGACACTCGGGATTAAGAGAAAATCTAGAGAAACTTAGGTTTTTTTTATCTTTGAAAAGTGGTGATTAAGAGGGGAGCTCACTGAAGTGCATGATCTTGAATTGTACTGAAAAACTAAATATGGAAATCTACCTTGTTAAACCATGAAAGCAGATCAAACTAGTACAATGCAAATTTAAGTCTGATGTTTTGAAGTCCTTCACATATAGATCAAGAAATATAGAACAGGATAGGGCAGTTGAGCTAGAAAATTTTGAATCAATACAGGAGTAATTGATTGAAATTGTAAATATAGTTTGAATATCGATTTCACAAAATATAACAAATTAATAAAATAGAAACCTCACATAATACACAAAAATACAGGCATCTGGAAATTAGTCTAAGCAGTTACCTTATGAACATTCAACTTCTTGCATTATACTGCAGCTAACAAAACATGTATTCAAAGTCAGACACAGTGGGTCAGTCCAACATGGTGTATGAGTGCCAAGTTGCAATTTAGCAATGCTACACTACAAAATTGGCACCAGTGCGAATTTGGCACTGTAATCACAGTGAAATCACATTTTAAAATCAAAACAGACATCACCATTAACTTCTACAGCAATCAGAAAACAGGAACATCTGATCTGTTAATACATGCAAGTCCTTTGGATCTTTTGAGGTGACCTCAACAGTTTGAGGAAACAAAGGAGGAAAGAAATCTAGGAGTTTTGTTGGCTGGGTCATTAAAGCTGTCAGATCAACATTCATGGGTGGTCAAGAAAGTAAATAAAATGTTGAGATGTATACCTAAGGTGTGATTTATGTCATAGGAGGCAATGTTAAAGTTATATCTGACCTTAATGATGCCCTATTTACAGTACTGAATACAGTCTTGGCCACCATAATACATAGTGTTACTGGAAACAATCCAGAGGAAACAACATGGCAGATTCCAGAAGTAAGAGGTCTGAAATATGAGAAAAAATTTTCCATCCTGCAACTTCACTGTCAGGAGAAGAACAGGGACACAATGAAACTTTTTTTTTCCAATTTTCAAAGGTTTCCAGATTTGGATGTAAGAAAAAAAATTCAGGCATAAAACTATAGACTTTAGGAGACACTTAGAGGGATGAAGAAAAATACAAATGTATTGCTGAGGACTGGAAGGTAGGGTTGACATCATCATTACCCATCTGAAACTGAACACAACTTTAGCACATATGTAGATTGGCACAGAAATCCTTAAGTTGCCATTGACAGTCAGTGCTCTGTCACAGGCTGCACTGAATTTGCCACTATGCACACCCTGCCCTTCTCATGGAATGAGTACTCACTAACATTAGTGAAAACATCAACTTTCCCATTCCCACATCACTGTTAGAATTCCATAAAATGATTTATACAGCACGTAAACATACCCTTTCAGGTTCTTGACTAGATTTGTAGCTCGGGTAGTGGCTGCTGTGGTTGGTTAGCTCGCAAGCTGGTTCATTAGTTCGCAGGACCAGCTTGGCCTTCAGTCCAACCAGTCCATGTTGAACATATTCCCAAACTAAACTAGTTGCACCTGCCTGATCCTGGCCCATATCCCTCCAAACCTTTCCTATTCATGTGCTTATCTAATTGTCTTGTTGGACTAGTTATCACCAGGTTCTAATAGTGATGGGATTAATAAAATTTGATGAACAGCAAAACTTACTACGGGAAAAAAAATAAATGTAGGGTGCTATTAGATTATTAACTAGTGATTTTCAAAGCTAATTTTTAAAAGAAATTATTTTTCTCCAAATATTTTAACTTATAACTTTGCCTCATCTATGTCTCAATCTTCAACTTGGGAACATTTTAAAAAGTGATTTAATTTTAATGCTTTTTGATTCCTGGTTGTGTCTCTGTGAAAATCCTTTAATGACACCAGCCTAGCTCTATGCTGAAAATTCCGCAGTAATGAACGGGGAAATCAATTGAAGTAACCATTGCATGGCAACAGAGGTGAAATTCTCACCTGCAGGACCGCTAAATTCATTAGTGAAGCTAACTTCAGCAGTCAGTGCATTGTTTCACTACCTGCCGTAAACTCCAATATTTTAGAAATTGATTACTTGTGATAAAGATGAAAAAGAAAACCATGGGAAGTCTGTTTTATAAAAAGGAATGGATGAGGTCTTGTTAGTAACAGCAGAGGAACTGAATAGGTACTGGATAGTCAGAGACATTTTTCCAGGGTTGAAGTTTCAATGACAAAGGGGCACAGGTTCAAGGTCAGAGGGGGAAAGTTTAAGGGAGATGTGCGAGGGAAGTTTTTTCACGCAGAGAGTGGTAGCAGCCTGGAATGCACTACCAGAAGAGGTGGTGGAAGTGGGCATATTGGAGACATTTAAGAGGCACCTAGATGGGTACATGAATAGGGAGGGAATAGAGGGATACAGATTGAAAAATGGCAGGTTTGTTTTTAGATTAATTCAGGCATGATGGTCGACACAGGCTTGGAGGGCCTAGCGGCCTGTTCCTGTGTTGTACTTTTTCATTTGTTCATTTGCATCAGTTTTCACAGCGGAAGATACCAGCAGCATACCAGAACTTCAAAAGAGTCAGAGGACAGAGGTGAGTTTAGCGGCTATCAGTAAGGAAGAGGTGCTAGACAAACTGAAAGGTGTGTAGGTGGAGAAATCACCTGCTGAGGTGGACAACATCCCAGACTTTTGAAGGAGATAGTTAAGGAAATTGTGGATGCATTGTTGATGATCTTTCAGGAATTATAGGAGTCAGGGAGGACCCCAGAAGATTGGAAAATAACTAATGTAAAACTCCTGTTTAATAAGGGAGGGAGGCAGAAGACAGGAAACTATATAACTGAGCACGGTGGCTCAGTGGTTAGCACTGCTGCCTCACGGCACCAGAGACCCGGGTTTGATTCCATCCTTGGGTGACTGTGTGGAATTTGCACATTCTCCCCGTGTCTGCGTGGGTTTCCTCTGGGTGCTCCAGCTTCCTACCACAATCCAAAGATGTGCAGGCTAGGTAGACTGGCCATGCTAAATTGCCCATAGTGTTCAGGGATGTGTCGATTAGGTGGGTTATGTGGGATGGGTCTGGGTGCGTTGCCCCGAGGTTTGGTGTGGACTTGTTGGGCCGAAGGGCCTGTTTCCATACTGTAGGGATTCTATGAAAAATAGGCCAGTTAGCCTGACCTCAGTTGTTGGCAGGATTTTAAAGTCCATTTATTAAGGATGAGATTGCAGCATACTTGAAAGTGCATGGGGCTAAGTCAGAATGGCTTTGTAAAGGGGAGGTCATATCTGACAAATCCGTTAGAATTCTTTGAGGAGATAATGAAGTAAGTTGTTTAAAGGAGAACCAGTGGATATGATCTATTTGGATTTCCAGAAGACCTTTGACAAGGTGCCATGCAAGAGGCTGCTAAATACGATAAGGGCCGATGGTGCCAGGGGTAAGATACTGGCATGGAAAGAAGTTTGTGTGACTGGCAGAAGACAGTGAGTGGAGATAAAGAGGTCTTTTTCAGGATAGCAGCCAGTGACCAGTGGAGTTCCTCAGAGGTCTGTACTGGGACCACAAGTACTCGCATTATACATGCGAGGATACAAAGGTAGGTTTGGGACAGGTAGTACTGAGGAAACAGGGAGACTGTAGAAGGACTTGGAATAGGCTCGGAGAGTGGGCATAAAGTGGCAGATGGAATACAATGTGGGAAAGTGTGAGGTTATGCACATTGGTAGTAAGCATAAACTATTTTCTAAATGGGAAAAGCCTTCAGAAATCTGTAGCAGAAAGGGACTTGAGTCCCAGTTCAGGATTCTGTTAAGGTTAACATCTAGGTTCAGTTGGCAGTTAGGAAGTCAAATGCAATGCTAACATTCATTTCAAGAGGGCTGGAATACAAGAGCAGAGATGAACTACTGAGGCTGGATAAGGCTCTGGTTAAATTGCATTTGGAATACTGTGAGCAGTTATCTAAGGGAGGTATTGAATGGGGTCCACAGGAGGTTTACAAGAATGATCCTGAGGATATCAAATGAGGAGTGGTTGAGAACTCTGGGTATGTATTCAATGGAGTTTAGAAGGATAAAGGGGGGATCTGATTGAAGCTTGCAGAACACTGAGTGGACTGGATACAGTGGATGTGGAGAGATGTTTCCACTAATAGGAGAGATGAGGACCTGATGTTACAGCCTCAGATTGAAGGGATAACCCTTTAGAACTGAGAGAGGAGGAATCTCTTCAACCCGAGGATGGTTAATCTGTGGAACTCATTGACGCAGAGGGTTGTAGAGGCCAAGTTGTTGAGTGTATTTAATACTGAGATAGATAGATTCTTGTTTGGTAAGAGGATCAAGGTTTATGGAGAGAAGGCAGGAGAATGGGGTTGAGAAACACATCAGCCATAATCGAATGGTGGAACAGACTCAATGGGCCAAAGAGCCTAATTCTGGTCATACTGTCTACAACAGATACATAAGGTATTAGCTTTAGGCTAACGTAAGGCTTAGATGGGTAGATTGGATGGACTAATGGTCTTCTCCTTCTCAAAACATTACTCTGTTACTTGCACTTGTGTGTTGCTTCTTACAGTAGATTATATCATCATTCATTTGTAAAGGGTAAATCAAAGTATATATTGCTGTTTATACTACTGCGTCATTAATAAGGCAAGAAAAACACAATTCCAGCTTTTATTCAGACTTCCATACAATTCACAGGAAATAAAACACAGAATTCTGAAAATGCACATCAGATGTGTAGGCATTTAAAACGAAGTAAGATAAACTAATGTCCTGTTTAGAGATCCTACTGCCGTATCTTTTATTATGTCATTCATATAATGAGAATAGCTATAACATTATTTAAAAATCCTAAGTTAATTGAGAAATACTCAGTTAACATAGAGCTTCTGGTTTTCTACATCTCTATGTTATTATTCCCTTCAATGTAAGCTACAGGGCAGCAACAGATCTCCTATCTCCAGGGTGCAGATGTAATATTGTTCTGGAGCGAAGTAATTAGAAGTTTGAGTAAAATGCCAGGTGCTGCTGAATCACATTTTTCATGCAGAGTGCTTTGCAGTGGCTAGGCTGTTCAACATGTCCTCATCAGGAGGTGACAGAAGGATTTGTGGGGGAGGGCTTCTAGTAAATGTCTTGAAAACAAATTACCTTTTACAATACAACTCTTAAATTGCCAAAACTGCACATTTTGTTTTTTACAAAGACATTTAAGTAAACACATTTCACCTGCCTCTGGCATAAGCATGTGCTGGCTTTCCCAATAACATCTACTGTGAATTACAGTTGCTGGCTTGCTGTGTGTAAACATATTGTAATTTGTATCAGAAGATTTCAATTTGCGTCAGCAGGATGCAAATTCATTCCACACTAATCATGGAAACAAGGTTCAAGTTAAGATTTGCTCATAGAGAATCAAGACTTTGTTAAACAATTCATTTTCTCTGAATTTAACACAAATGCATTTGATTCTATATGATTTAGTCATTCACAAAGGTGATTCAGGTTATTTGACAAAGCTCATTATCTGGATCACAAAGCTGTAAAGAATGTCAAATATTAGTCTGATGGAAAGCAATAAGACAAGTTGTCCTTTAATATATTTATGTCTAGTAATTTTGTGTAATCCATGTCCATGTTTGTTGTTTCTAAAAAAAATTGGTGGTGGAGAAAATTTGCGTTCACCAAAATCTTTTCTCAGGATAGGAATTTTAATGATGAGTTGTGATATTTTAAATAGGTGAATTGGTAAAATATTTAGCTTTTGCAGAGGATCTGTATTTAGTGAGTAGAATGGAAGGTGAGCAGTTTTGCAGCTAGTACATTCATACAAGTTGCAAAGCATGCTGACATTTGTTTCTGATAAACATGAGATTTGAATCAAGCACAAGTAGGCTTCTTTTATTATCTTTCAGAAAAAGTTTTAAATGCGAAAATGAATTATTGATGTTTGTGAAAATAAAACTTTACAGCAGGCATACTGCTTCCCCAATTGCTGTACAATGTACTAAAATTAGGGTTAAACCATAATAAGGATATTAAAAGATAATAATTCTTAAAAAGAAACATAAATTCCTACTTACAGTTTTCATCCCATCACTGGTAGTTATGCCTGCAGTTGCCCAGACCCTAAGTTCTGGAAGTTCCATGCCAAACCTCTCTGGCTCTATTCACTTTTAACTCTCTCTTTGACAAAGCTTTTGGACACCTACTGTATAATTCCCTTATGTGCTTGGATTTCAAATTTTGTTTGATTAGGTTTGTTGTGGGATTTTATTTATTTTGTTCGAGCTGCTATAATAATACAAACTATTGTTATAAATATTTGCATATAATCTTCACATACCTCCAACAACTTTCAGATGCTAAGTTTACCTCAGTTGAATTCTTCAAGTTCAAAATCTTTGAATTAAGCTTGGGCTGTAGTATATATGCATAGACATGTATGATGACTTTTCCAACCAGAACAACTTGTTTCTTAAGAAATATTAAAATTTTGATATTCAAATTTGCAGATTCAAAATGTAGATTTACAGAAATTAAGACATGAGGACAAAATGGTTAGGGGTGTTAAATTTTTAAAAAGACACAGAAAAGTAAACAAAGAACACAGAAATAGACAGGCTCACCTATAAACTGACACACCAGATGCATACAGAATGTGCTACATACTCAATAGACATAGGTTAATTCTCTGTGTTAGTCCATCTTGCAGGAGATGAGACAAACAAAAAGATTAAGATACAGAGAAAATGTTTCAATACCATAATGACCATGACAAAAAGACTTAAAGAAATTCAGAAAGATGTAAATGTTTAGAGAATTGGTGATAAATACTACTTAGATATGAAGATACAGAAATAACCAATACAAGATGAGGAAGACCATTTAGTCCATCTTAGCTCGTGTGTCCAGAAAGCAACTACAGTCCCTTACTTCTGTCAAAACCCTCCCCCACTCACACAACTATGCTCCTATCATCTAAAGAGCTGTTTTTAAAATTGTACCAGCGCTTTTGCCTTTAGTAACAAACCAGAAAATTCCGTGTGTTGACCACATTTGTAAGGAAGAACATCTTGCTGCCCGTCCTAGAAAAGTATCTTTCTAGTTCGAACCTGTGCTGCCATAAGTTATATCATGGGGCAGATGATGATCTGCAGTTGACTTGATCTTTGCCTATCCATTAGTTCATATCTAATAGAATAAGTCAGAACATTATAATGTAACACATACCTGTAGACGAATGCAATAAATAAGCAACGTAAAACATTACTTGGAATCTTATTTAATTCTTTCTGTTCTGTATTTCAAGACATTACAAAATAAAAAGAAGAAACAATTTAGTTAAAGGACCCTTGCAAGTATTGATGAAAATTATTATTCTAATGCAGGAATCAAGGTATAAAAACTTACCATGATGCCAAATTTCAGGATGTCCATGAAAATAAGAGCCTATCCCATGGCCGATAAATTGAGGACACACTTGCAGTCCACTGGCATTTGCTATCTGACTGTAAATAATAACAAAGAAATAATCTGTTCTGACAATATCATATGAATTTTTTTATTTCTAAAATATACTTTATAAATAAAATTTTTTATATACACAGACAGTCATTAAAACAATTCGGTGTACAGTCTTTGCATTTGGAGAAACAAAAAATCATTGGAGTTCTTACTCGTGCAAAATACTACTTACAGATGTTTGAGGCACCAGGAGGGTCTGATAACAGAATAGAGCCCCATTCTACTTTGGGTGAAAGACCTTACATGGTAGTCTTTCTCCACTGCGCCTTGGCCAACGGTTGCCCCAAGCTTTAGTGTGTCTCTCTGCATGTAGTCCTAGATCTTTGTGCTGGAAGACCAACCAGTTTTGGGCAGACCAAATAGTCTTTCACTGAATTGATGGTCCTCCAGGTACAGGCAATGAATCTGGTACTGAATTTGATGCATTCTAGCCAGAAACAGCAATATTTTCCCAGGAACAAAAACAAAGTTGCTGGAAAAGCTCAGCAGGTCTGGCAGCATCTGTGAAAGAGAAAACAGAGTTAACGTTTCAGGTCTGGTGACCCTTCCTCAGAACTCAGGTCTCTGTCAGTGCAGCTTTTTGGTGATGATGGAAACGTGGACATTGAGGTTTACTTTGAATATCAATTGGGATCTTCTAGATTTGCCTAATAGGGAGTTCTGTAGCATCTTTAATGACAATTACAGACCAGACAGCATGGTAAAGAATTGCACTCTAGTTTTCAACTGCTGCGATAAAAAAGGGGCATCTAAGGTAGATAAGATCAGCATTTGTTGACAAGATTCTGATATTCCCTCATTTTTTCCTCAATGGAAACATTTCTATTGCATACAGCTTCATTTTATGTGACTACTGAGTTCAGAAACCTGCTTCATTGGCATTAGGAGAACACATTAATGTTTCACTTTTCTAGGGTAAGAATTATATGCAAATATTGATTATGCTTTCTGGGGTTATTAGGGTTTTTGAAAATCTGTAATATTATACGCAAAGGTGTAAGTTTATACTTGTATCTCATCTGCTTAGTGTATGCTATATGTGTGGCATATTATGTATGCCACCAACAGAATTAAGGTGCATTAAATAACACGACATGCAACAGAAATTTATATTTCTTTAGTGCCTTTAACACATAAGGAGATATCACGTCAGATGACCAAAGGCTTGGTCAAAGATATAAGTTTTAAGGAATATCATTAAGTTGGTAAGTGAGCTGGAATGGCAAAGAGGTGATGGGAGGGAACCCATGGCTTTAATCCTAAGTGATCTAAAGGTTGAGCCAACAATGATGGAATGATTAATGAGAGAGAAGCTCAATAGGCCAAAATTAAATAAACTCAGTATATCTTGAAATGTTGAGAGGTGGAGGCTGTATCAGAGATAAGGGTAGATAAGGCCCTGAAGGCATTTGAAAACAAAGGTGAGAATCTTAAAAGTAAGGCCTCCTTGGCTGGGAGTCAATGCAAGTCAACGAGCACATGAGGAAATAGATAATTGGATTTAGTGTAAGTTAAGAGTTGGGCTGGAGCATTCTGGATAACTCAGCATTTACAGAGGATAGATTGTGGGAGACCAGCGAGACATAGGTTAGAATTGCTTATAGAAATAATAAAGATATAAAAGGTTTTAGCACCAATTAAGTTGACAGAAAGAAGAATTTCAGCAATATTATGGAGGTGGAAAAAGGTGGTCCTAATGATAGCATGAATATGCAGTCACTCTGATGAAAGGTGTCTGCCTTTTTATATACACTATCCATTTTTGCAATTTAGATTTCCAAGTAATGTATGTTGGTTACATTTCTGAAGGGGTATTTAAAATAAAATAGGTCAGACAGTCAGTTCAGAGGAGACCTGACTGGAGTCAGAAGCAAGTGTAGTCTCTCTCCTAGAATGGAATTTTTCCAGATCACTTAAAGGGAATGGGTTGCTTCAACAGCAAAGTTTATTTTCTACAGTTTCCAGACCGGGAGTGTTTGACCAAAAGTCTGCAAGTTATTAGAAGTGGAGAGAGTCTAATCTCTCACTTTTTTAAGCGTTCATGTAAGAACACTCCATAGATCACAGGACAGAAAATAGGGAGAATTAGCTAAATTGAACTTAAAGATTTAACAAAGAAGTGTAATTTCTTTAGATTTGAATCAATGTAAATTGATGGTTTTGGGAAATAGGTTTAAACTTGATTTGCTTGGTGTTTAAGATATTTTTCTAAGTAGGTTCTATACATAGATAGCTTGTTTTAGTTGTAAGTCATCTCTTTTGTAACAAATTTCTGTTCTGTTGTTAAAGAAACTCTGCAGTCTGGTATTAACATGTTTCATTGACTCACCTCCACATTAACTAAAGTTAAAAATAAACGTGTAAAAGCAAAATACAGTGGATGCGGGAAATCTGAAACAAACACAGAGAATGCTGGAGAACCTCAGCATGTGTTGCAGTATCTGTGGAGAAAGAAACCAAAGAAATGTTTCAAGTGGAGCTCTGAAAAAAAAGCATATGATCTATCAAGCCAGATTTCATTCTAGGATCTGATTTGTCCAGTAGTACCATCAGCTGGGATCATGTCAAGTCCCATCAATGGGAAAGCTGAGCTGATCATGCTCTAATCATTTTGGTCACAGACCTTGATGCTGAAATCATGCCTCGTCAGAAATTGTAGGCCAATCAGAGCCTGGTAGCTACTGGGTCCCAGAGATCAAGACTGAGGGCCTAGTTTTCTGGGGATACCATGGTAAGAAGGTAAGTCCTTTCGGGTCTTGAGAGTGAGGGCTGCAAGGACAGGGAGTCAGGGTTGTTGCCAGCAAGGTTGAGGTGTTAGCCTTAGAGGCCATTCCTTTACTCCTGCATCTCTGCCTCTTATTGAGACAAATAGAGGCCCTACCCACTACACAACTCAGCAGTCATATTGCCCTGGTTTCTGAGTGGGGGTATCATCCACTTTTGTCTCCTGCTGGGAAGGCAGATAATCAGATTGGTGGCAAGTTGAGGCCCTTAAGTAACTACTAATTAATCACTTGGGGTCTTAATTGCTGGCGGGTTGAGATGGTAGCTAATGGAAGTTCTTGCCCAGTGCTTAATTGCTGATATGGATTGAGGTGGCACACACTCAATTATTTGCCCTTATCACAATCCTCATTACCTCAAAGTAGGGGAAAATTGTAGCCTTACAGTGGGTATTAAGTGGGTAAAAATTGATAAGTGTACACTCCCTAACGCAAGTGCAGAAGTCAGTTGTTAAATACCAAGTGGCACCTCATTGAGAACAACTAACTCAGACCAGTTTGGGACAGAAGGCTGCAGTTTTGGGACATTAAACATGAAAAGGGACGAAAGATTGAAAAAATAAAAGAAGGAAAATAACTTGTTCTTACATTATTACTTCCATAAACTCAAGATATACCAAAACATTTTAGAACCAATTATTTTGAAATGTAGTCATTATTGCAGAAAATGCAGGTGCCAATTTGGACAATTGGATCCCATAAATGGCAGTTAAGTAAATGATCAGATCATTTGTTTCAAGTGTTGCACGAGAGATAAATGATCACCAGAACAGCAGCAGAGCTATTCTTCAAATGGTGCCAAAAGTCTTTTAGGTCGAGCTGAGAACCTATGGTCGTGGTTTCATAGAATCATCGAATCCCTACAGTGTGGATACAGGCCCTCGGCCCAACGTGTCCACACCAACCCTCAGAGCATCCCACCCAGACCCATCCCCCTATAACAAACCTAATCTACACATCCCTGAACACTACAGGCAAATTGGCATGACCAATCCACCTCGCCTGCACATTTTTGGACTGTAAGAGGAAACTGGAGCACCCGGAGGAAACGCACGCAGACGTGAGGAGGTTTATTGGGTCACCTGAAAGATAGCAGTTCTGACTAGGGTCAGAGTGGTAGATCAGGGCTGAATAGCTGGCCCAGATGTTGAGAATGCCCGCTTTGCTTGGGTCGGGGGGTTGTGGGGGGGGCGTGGGTGGGCCCTGGGCCAGGAGTATTACTGGGGGCCATGATTTCTGTCTCTGCCCCTGGATTTCACAGTGCAATAAAGCCAAAGTTAGCACTGAGAATCAGCTGAAATCATGCACCCAAGGCTCCGGAGTGATCACTGAATGTACAACCTTCTCACACAGAGATGACACTTACCACGAGCGAAGGCTGAACAAATGTGAGCCAGTATGTGTACAGATTTTTCCTTTTATAATAGTGAGGATTGCATGTCAATTCAGATTAATAATGTAAGGTTTTTGCTACAGTTTTCACTGTTGTGACAATGGACGTTTTCACATGTCAAAAACGTTTAAGGAAATTGGCATTTTTCTTTGTGGCAAAGATAACATAAATTCCTTGCAATTACTGGATATATTGCTATTTTAAAAATTACCTCAAAGGCTTGGAATAATTTTTAATTCTATGAACTGATACTTCAGTTTTGATTTGCATGTTAAACTGTAGGAAAGTAATTCTCAGCAACAAATAAACAAAATAAACTGAAAAAAATCACAATATATATCAGTAATGGTACAGTAGAAAACACTTGCATCAGATATTGCATCAAAATCTGTCTCCTGGGGTTAACTCTTAGCTGACTGGAGTCATACCTGGCACAAATAAGATGGCTGTCGTGACTGGAGGTCAGTCAGCTCGACTCAAGGACATCTCTGCAGGAGTTCCTCAGGGTCATGTCTGATGTCCAACATTTTCAGCTGCTTCATTAAAGACATTCCCTCCACCATAAGTTCAAAAGTGCAGTAAGTGAGTGTGCAAAGATGTGATTAATGGAGTATAATGTGAGAAAAAGTGAAGTTGTCCATTTTAGCAGGAAGAAGAAAAGAAAATTCAACGATGAGAGTTAGCAGAGTTCTGAGATGCAGAGAGTTCTGGATGTCCTTGTGCATGAATCACAAATAGCTAGTACACAGGTGCAGCAAGTAATTAGGTAAGTAACAGAATGTTTTAATTTATTGTGAGGGGCACTGAA